GCATAATTTTTGTTATTTATATTTCAATTCGCATGATCCTTGCTACGCCCATACCAATATGCTAGCTGCATAAGTTAATTTACAGCTACTTGTATGATTTTTGATATTTACTTTCACATCTGCATTTTTAAAGAGAGAACAGCTGTCAGCTGAGGGGCAAGGCTTTTGTCGTTGTTATTGCCAAAAATATTTAAAAAAGGCTTAAGGTAAAGATTAAATGTGAGTAAAATATTGCGCAACTTTTGTGTATTTAGTTGTGTATGAAAATGCGAATGAAAAATGTAGAAAAGTATTGTTTGGAGCTGTACACGTATGTATGTGGGGGCTATTATATATCTACGTATGTATGTATGTATGTATACATATTTGAAAATGAAGAGAAATTGGGAAGATAAATAGTATATAATGAATGAAATGTATAATTGTAAATTGCAAAAATACTTTGCCCACTAAAGACAGGCAAGACTTGCAAATAAAATTTATATTTTTTATTCAAAGCCATTCGTAAGCAAAAGGCAACTGTGGCGGCAGAATTCAGCAACCACAGCTACAACAAGCAAACGAGCTGCTGCTTGGGTGGTCAATCGGGCCCGGAGCGCGCTTTTTGGAAAGCTAAAGCTGCCACAGGTGAGGCGGACACGAGAGCTCTGTTGGTAAGTAACAACAGCCACAGCCGGCGGCAACAAAATTTAGCTGTTTAGTGGCTGATCGTTGTTGTTGCTGGTCGCCGGAGAGCTACAATTTATGTTAGTTGCTTAGCATTTATCGCAACATAAAATATGGAAATTATTCATTAGCGATTTCCGTTTCCGATTTATCTTAATAGCTAGACCAGTGGCTCGTTCCCTATTTGGTTTACTGTAGCTTCTATGTTGCTGCTGCTGCTGTTGTTGTTGTTGTTGTAATTAAGAGCCGGCTACTGTTTTGAGATAAGAAAACAGCGGTCGGCTCCTGCCCTTACCAAGACACCAGCTGTGCGTGTGTGTGCTTGTGTGTGTGCTTGTGTGTGTGTGTGTGTGTGGTCCTTATTGAATTTTCAAAGCTTTGGCCAATGAAAGCGGCTATTAAGTCATGGCAGCATAAAACAAACAAACAAACCAACCAATTGATGCAAGGGACCCGCAAGCAAGCCAACTTGGGTGGCAGCCTCCATACATACAAGCAAACAAAAAACATACATTCGTATGTTTATAGATACATACATATGTACATAAATACATGCAGGGTAGAGCTGTGCGCGTGACATGCACAATTTACAATCACGCACGTTCACGTTCAATATATTCAGCGATATAATACAATTTGTTCGTAAGTCAACTTTTAAATTTTTAGATTTATATAAGAGTTAAGCTTAGGGAACATTTAATACCTTTTTTTGCTTGCCTACGTCGGATGTTTTCTATGAAATGTCAATATAGTTATGTAGTGTTCTATAAACAACAAAAAACGTCTCCGGTCACCAGCGATGTCTGGTCTGGGAGAGATATCGTTCCATGACTGTATTTTTCTAAACATAATTGAACAGAAAATCTCTATTTGCTATAATTTTAATGCTGAATGTATTTACTAAGATACTTCCAACTTCGGGTCAAGTTTGTTCAAAATTGTTTTTAAAAATAACTTCTGGCAACTCCTTATCCCTCTTTCAATAATTATTCGTATTATGGGTGGTAGTAGCTGTTTCTTCAATACATTAAAATGTTTCTCAATTACGATACAGCTACATGAAAGTATTTTGGATTCAAATGGGATTCTTTCTAACAAAATGGCTCGAATTTGCACATTTTTCTTAATTTGAGAATTGTTGCCAATTTATGAATTTCGCGGTAGTTTACACTCACGGAAAACACAGGAATTATCAGCTATTGACGATCACGCACAGCTCTATGTTGCGAGACATTGGCGGCGCCGCAAAAAAAGAAAGCGCGTGCAGCAACAACAACTATAACAACAACAACAACAACAACAAATACTCAACCGACCGGAACTGCAACTGGCGCTATAAGCAATTATACATATATGCTATCTGACTGTATGTGTGTGTCTTTCTGTGTATTGATGGCCGCCCAAGGCGCAAGTTGCTGCCGTCCAGCCTGAAACGAACAAGAACAACAACCGCAGTAGTGACAACAACAGCAACAACAGATGGAGCAGTAGCAACAACAAACAGTAGCAACATTTGCCTTTGCCAAAGATTGACAGCGCTACACTTGGGAGCTTCAAACAGACAGCCGTGCTTGGCATTGGACCACCAAGAAACTGCGATCCTGCGAGGCTAAGATGTTGGAGATGGAGATGCTACTGCTGTTGTTGTTGGCTCTGCCCCGACTGGCAGTTGTTGCTTGTCGCCACTCTGTTGCGTTATGTTGTCAAAGGGGACGCGCGCAAGTGCAACATGTTGCTCTTGTTTCTTTTGTTGTTGCTGTTTGTGTTACGCCTTATTTTTGTACGGCTACTGGTTACTTGTTTTTGATCTTCACGCTGCTGTAAATTATACGGAAACATCAGCCAACCAACCAACAGCCAACAAATTGACAGCCTCTGTGCTTGCTTGCGCTTCAATTCAAATTCTTGCTGCACTTACGTGCGTACTATTGCTGCAGCTGTTGTCTGTCAACAACCAACAACAGCACTACACACGCACGCACAGTTATATCCACATAATTGTAGGCTTTCCATTGCATGTTGCTCCTGCTGCTGCCGCTTGCACTTGATTCAAACGGTCTCGTGTTGTCAACAACATTGATAGCTGCTCTGGTTGTTGCAGTTTTGTTGCTCTGATACATTGTTTTATTGCTGCTGGCTTGAATATTTTATGTCAAATGTGTGCACAATATAAAATACAGTCGAACCTCTTTAACTCCAAATTACAGAATTAGGCAATGATGGAGTAATTCTACTCAAAAATTGCACAAGTTGTTTATCGAACTAAACTTATTAAATGGTTTTAGCACGTGTAAAAAATTCGATAATTCCTACATTGATTTATGAACCAATTAAGAAATTCCGTTAAATATTTAATATACATTTGGATTTAAAACTGTTTTACAAAATTTTTCGACTTATGAAATGATAAGCACAATTGGCACAATTTTTGTGAAATTGTTTTTCTAAATTCTTCCCTGAGTGAATACGTATTTTAATATGATTTCAACATTTTCATTTTATTCAAATCCAGAAGTATTTTAAAGAGCAATTAGCAGCGAAGTTGTCTTCGAATGCAATAAAGCCTGCTATCTTTTCCTTTGATAACCAAAATTTCCAATTGCATAACTTTTGTGTTGGTTTCGATTTAAGGTTGAATTTATCTAAAAATTTATCGACATTTATTTTATAAAAAGGTTATTCGTATCATTATTTTTCACTATATACTATAAAAAGATGTCTTGAAGTTCTTGCAGCTTGCGGAAAATGATAAATGAGAGCCTTCTTAGACTGAACAACCATACATAGCTCTATTCAGCTAAGAAAATTTTAAATAGATAACGACCAATGTTGTTTTTCTTTGCTATATCTATAAATTAAATACGATGGACATTAGCAAACTTAGGGAATTAAGATGGTATGTGTATTTGTACGATATTTCTTAGCCTTACTTATAGAAATTTGAGGGATCAACAGTGTACACATAAATGTACACATACATATACATATATACATACATACTATTCATACATCCATAGCTTCTTCAGGCAGTCACAAAAAATGATTTTAGTTCCCATGATCTCGCTTCGTTACTCTACTAATAAAATAAAAAGATGCCCATTAAGTTTTATTTAATTTCCTTACTCAATTTTTCAACGCACATTTTTTAGAAAACACATTTAAAACCATTCAATAAAAAAATAACTTTAATCGTTTTTGCGCACACATTGCTTCCTAGAAAAACAAAATGGCACATTAAGATTGTCGTTATTTAGTATGTGTGTGTGTGTGTGTGCCTTCAAATTAAAGCTAAAATTTTAATATGGCCATGGACCACACACAATGCTCGGCGGGCCACATGCCGAGGCGCTCAGGAGCCGCGAACGCTTAAAAAGCAAATAAAAAAACAAATAATTGCTAATTTTATGCTCGAATAAATGAGCAAGAGCTCTTAGCTCTACTGACCGTCGCGTCGATCGGATGCTGTATCTGTGGAAGGATCAAAAATGGGCACCCCACCATTGTGAGCTGAAAGCATAAATTAGTGCGAGAGCAATGGCAATAGCCCGCACTCGCTTCCACAAAACGTCACGCACTATCAAATGAGAAAATGATCAATGGGGGCACACAGATACAACATACATACATACACAGATCCATACATATACAGACATGCATATAGCCAACAGCAGAGCAGCTAATAGACCACCCATGACGACGAATTAAAGACCACACACGAAGAGACCGGCACTTCTGCATGTCTGCATGTGTGCGTGCGTCTGCTGTATGTGTGTGTATGAAAAACAATTTCAGCATTGGCTGCGAAGGGGAGATTTGTCGAGCAGATAATTGAAATACGTACGTACATATGTATGTACATATATCTTGAGCCTGTGCGTTGAAGTATGCATACAAATTTCAAAATAATTCAAAACGGGCGCACATGCTAATATGAATAAGAAAGTGCAATACAAAAAAAAAGACAGCACAATTTAAAATCAACAATTAAATACAAAAACCAAATACATAAAATCTTATTTGTATTTAATTTATTTCTGTAACTTATGATTTATATTTTTGAATTTTCTTTTTATGCAAATATGTTTATAATAATGAATTTCAATAAGATCACCTGAATAAATACATTTTGCATTTTTTTTTAATATAACACAAAGGTTTCATATGCAGGCCCAATTTGGCTGTATAGTTTAAATTTCAAAAAATATTGCGCGTTTTGAAACGGCTAAATTTGATTTCAAATCACCATTGTCGATAGCCATTGCTTCTTAGAGTTGCCACATTCATTAAAAGAAACTGCCAGTAATAAATCCATATTCAATGGGTACACACTCCCAAACACATAGGAACGTGTGTCTGTGGGCTTCTGTTGGGTTTTAACATAAATAAAATTGTTTAAGTAGAAAAATGCCACCTAAGAAGGCGCCAGGACCGAGTAAGAAAACCGAACAAAAGAAAAAGGAGAAGATTATTGAGGTGAGCTACAATTCAGAGATGCTAGTCGGATAAGAAGCCGTCACCAACATAACCTCAATGCACGAAAATTGCATCGGGCTAAAAGCTTCAACGTCAACAAAACGTATTCATTGCAGGACAAGACCTTCGGTCTGAAGAACAAGAAGGGCAACAAACAGCAAAAGTTCATACAGCAAGTACAGAAGCAGGTGCAAGCCGGTGGCCATCATCCGCGTCCAGATGCCGACAAGCGCAAAGATGAGAAGGAGAAAAAGTTGGCCGAACAGCGTGAAATGGCCTTGATTTTCAAGCCAGTGCAAACGCAAAAGGTCGAGAAGGGCACTGATCCGAAATCTGTTGTGTGTGCGTTCTTCAAGCAGGGTACCTGTACGAAGGGGGACAAGTGTAAGTTTTCGCACGATCTTTCGCTAGAAAATAAGGTGGAGAAAAGATCGATGTACGTGGATATGCGGGACTCTGAAGATGATCCAATGACCAACTGGGACGATGCCAAGCTAAAGGAGGTGGTCGACAAAAAGCACTCTGGTGAAAAGCGGCGGCCCACAACGGACATTGTAAATTGGAAAACACAACCAAAATATTGCATACACTTTATGTCTAAATTTTCATTCGTAGATTTGCAAATATTTCCTTGAAGCGGTAGAAAAATCAAAATACGGTTGGTTCTGGGAGTGCCCCAATGGCGAGAAATGCATCTATCGTCATGCTTTGCCACAAGGCTATGTGCTGAAAAAAGACAAAAAGAAGGAGGACAAACCTACAGAAATTTCGCTGGTCGATTTAATTGAGAAGGAGAGAGCCGCGCTGGGTCCCCATCAGACGCGAGTGACGCTGGAAACATTTTTAGCCTGGAAGAAACGGAAGTTACAAGAGAAGAAGGACAAATTGGCAGCTGAGGAGGAACGCAAAAAGAGCGATTATGGAAAGGGCAAACAATTTGGCATCTCTGGTCGTGAAATGTTTAGCTTCAATCCCGATCTTGTTGATGATGGGCCCATGGAGGAAGGCGATGCGGCATTTGATGTCTATAAACGCGACGACGATGATGAGAATGCCGTTGAATTCAAGGAAATCGACTTGGCAGCTCTCTCATTGGCTGCCAAGGAAGTCGATGGTTCGGGAACAATTGCATCAAGCACGAGGTTAATGGATCAGGCAGCAGAAGCAGCCAAAACTGCAGCAGCTGAGGATGCAGCGGCTGACACAGGCGATGAAAACCCCACCTCGTCCAGCGTTGCTGGTGCGCCAGCAAATGATGCTGCGCCCATCAACAAAGATCTCTTCGTCGATTTAGCCGGCGAATTGGATGATTTAGATATCGACGACGATGATGATGATGATTAATCCGCAATAACTAGCTGCCTAGTCTCAAAGATATTATAATTGGCATTAATGTAATCATGCGTGAGGACGCCCATAATTATTTATGGCTTTTGCTATTTTTTCGATTAATAAATTTGTCGTTTTTTAACGTTGATTTTGCGAACTTTCGGCAGCTTATTGTGAGTACAATTAAATGATAACAATAACTTTTGCATTCTATCAAAGAAATTTAAATCTTTAAATTGAATATGATTACAAATCTGTCATCGTTGCGAATGAAAAACAACTTGCATTGAATGGGATTAAAATAACAAAGTTTTCTTTATACACAAAGAGTTAAATACACGAAATATTAAAAGAACTTTACACCATGACTGTCATCCAATTCTATGAGCTCGCACTTGCCTTTTTCCTCCAGTAGCCGTAGTGCGTTCACCAATACCGCCTCATCGACCCCATGGAATTGGCATTGTGTTGTGTTCTCTCCTTTTGCTATCTCATAGATCGTGCACACGCTATTCACCTGGCCCGTCTCCTGCACCCACTCATAGACCATGTTCCCGTATTCGTCCAATGTATACCAATACACCTGCCACTCCTGTCGACGCTTGTCTAACGGCGCTGCATGTCCGCTGCGTTGCAAATGCTCGAGAATTGTGAGTACAAACTCCGGCGGTAGTCGCCTTTTTAGAGATTCATTGTGGAATAGCGGCAAGTCTTGTTCGTTGATGTTCAGCGTAAATTTATTGCTATGTTTGAGGTATTTAAGAAAGAGATCTGACCATACTTTTAATTGCTGCTGACGGGTTTCTTCATGTGGTTGCAAACTGCGGGAGAAGGGAGAGAACGCCGTGACAGTCTCGATGGTTAATAAGAGCGTTAAAAACTTACGTAAAAAACGGAGGAAATGTGTACTCCCAGGGCCATTCAAAGTCAGTCATTATTATTAATTCTTTATAAATGTGGACTATGGCTATTTGTTGTCTAGAAAATTGACGTCACGCACACAGCTGTTGAGTAGCACGGGTCAGGCGTTGCCAGATTGATTTAAAATGAAAGTGGCGAATACTATTTTTTGAATGCGATGAATAAAACACTGTTTAAATATTTCTCCACATGCTTTAAATGCACTGTTTTATTTGTCTTTATTAGAAAAAAATGTGTACAATAACGGTTTCTTTGATCATGCCATTAGATTGAATTTTTAGCTGATTTCAAACATGCAGAGACATAAAGAAGTTTGTAGATCAGAATTTTCCTTGCTTTATAATATACATACATGACACACAGTACATCCATATATCTACTATTTATTTGGTTTAGTATACGTAAAGTACCAGGAGGCCCAATTCTCTATACATTCAATACATCCTGCTTCTCATTTTAAGTAGATTTATTTAATGCTTTACTTTCTTGTATGCCAGCTGTTTGCGATTCTCGTGCCACAAAGCCACACAAAGCCCTCCTCATATCATAATCCATTTACATATGTACGTTAAAGTTAAATAACTATGTATATTTGTATGTGTTATGTTGTTAGTGAATTTACCTTTTTTTTACATACATATATCATGCAATTTGTGCTTAAGTTCTAAATTTATGTACGTCTGTGTGTGTTCCTATAAGTTTGTTTTTATTTGCTAAACTTACTTTACTTTAGAGCTTTCAAGGATTAATTTTATTTATTTTTATTTAGTATAGTTAAGCAAGTTTTACTTGCCGGGGACTTGTGTGAAGGTGTAAATTTGAATTGGGCGTGCGGGCAGTTTATAGCTTACAGTTAGAGATTGGCGTGTTACATATGTATGTATGTATATATATGTATGTATGTAGTATGTATATAAAGTTACAGTTTTGCACTTTGAATTGTTCTGCATTTGGTTTTGTACACTTGCGTGAATTCCTCTAGAATAAATTTTGTAATGCTGAGAAGGTGTCTTGATAGTACAGTTTGTAAGCTAGTAAAATAGTTTTACAATTAGTTCCTAGTTAACAAGTGAGGTTTGGTTGAAATCTTCATCGCTATGTTTGTATGTATTTATGCATGTATAGTAGTATATGCCTAGATATTGTATTTTATATCATTCTTCCCAGCGTCACAAATACTAATACTTGTACATTTAGATAGCATTGTTCTTCTACGTACAAATTGATAAAGCCATCTACTTTCCCTATTTCACCGTATAAAAATATAAAACAAATCGAATGCCTTATATTGCTTTTAGCAAATTTATGAAAATTTACAATTAAAATGCTAAGTTGATAAAAAAAAAAATAGGGGAATAGACAACGAATCTAAAATGCAATAAACCTAAATGTTAAAAATAAATGTGCAAAACGCCGTGTTTTATAAATATGAAACAATTCTCAAGCCACATATATTTTCACATAACTTGCAAAAAATAAAAATAAACAGGAGATGTCTTACAAAAAAACATTAAACGAAATCCTTTATATTATTCATGTACATATAGTTTTCGGATCTTAAATCATAACTTGTACACATGTACGCATCTATATATTTATAATTAAAAATGGCATGTGGTGAAATATATGCACTTACATACATATATAATTTCATATACATATATTTATACTTTACACACATTTATATCGAATGGTATAAAACGCATGCGCAACTGCAGACTAATTATATTGCTAAACGACTAAGGGACATATACATCGATATTGAATTTATTCCGAATCCATTCCTTCGGCTGCTGATTATTTCTGCGACGTCAAGTCAAGTGTTTCGGTAGCTTATTCTACGATTTATTACACATACATATATAAAGTTTTGGGATTCTCGAATCACTGCACGTGTAGCATGTTGTTTTACATAATGCTCCATACTATTCGACTAATGACTAATACTAGGTATATGTATGTATATGTATATAAGTATATAGCTAAACCTAAGCTACAATTTTTGCCTATGATGCTCTGCTACTATGCAGCGGCTACTTATACAGTTGTGTGTCTGCCTGTGTGGAGGGTATGGATATACTAGGTAGGTGTTCACTTGGCTAATGGTTCCAAGTAGCAGCGCACTGTATTATTCTCATCCAGCATGGCAGAAAGATGGCGAGCCTGTTGCTGCTGCTGATGCTGGGGGGTGCTGTGTGATGTATGCGACGACGATGATGTTGTGGACTGCGGTGATAATTTCTGTAATTGTTGCTGACGCTTCTGTGCTGGCGTCTGATTGGCCGGTGGTAATGGCGGTCCGGCATTCTTGTGATGCCCGAATAGCTCGTTTACCGCTACACGTGCGCTGGGGGATTTTGCCTGCTGTTTGTGGCTATATCCGCCACGCATGGATCCCTCACCAACGCCGCCGCTAACCCCAAAAACCGCACCGTTCTGTTCGTGTGTGGGTGCAGTTGTTCCTGGCGCCCCATAATCCAAGGGTACGCCATTTTTTCGCAGTTGGCGTCTGTAAAAACGAGAATGAGATGTAATCGAATATATAATATATGTACAAATTTTTGTACCAGCAAATTTCCGATAAAAAAAAAACATAAAGAAAAGCATATGTATGTGTAATATACTCACTGAAATCGCCTCTGGAAGTCTTTATCTTGCAGCGCCATTAATCGACGCATGCGCTCATCGCTTTGTGGCGGCAAGCCATGCGAATCATCATCCATATCGCTCTCATCACAGACGCTGTCATTATCTTGCATATCTTCTGCCGTTTCATCGTCCTCATCGTCATCCTCATTGTCATCATCCTCATCCGCTGTGCAACGTCGCCCGTTCCGCTGCTGCTGTGGCAATGGTTGATTTCTAGACGACACACTGCCACCACTAACGCTGCCACCATATCGGCTGCCCGACGCAGCCACCGTAGCGCGCATGTTATTAAAGACGCCAGTGCCGACGCTGTTGTTGTACACTTCGTCCACATCAAAGTCGTTCATCTCATAGTGCTGCACATCCGAGTTGCGATTGCTCAAGATCTCCTCGTAGACAGGTCCGCCATCGGCACTTCCTTGATTGTAGTAGGCATCGCTGCCGCCGCCGATGCCCTGGCTAAGATCACAGTTGGAATGCTTATTTCTATAGTGGCGCTGCTGCTGTGCAGACAGACCCACTCCACCGCCTCCGCCACCGGCAAGGTATTCATGCTGATACTGCGCCATGTGCGGTGGCGGCGGTGGCAACTGCTGTTGACCGGCGGTTCGACGCTGTTGTTGGTGCTGTAAATGGAGCAAATGCGCATGGGCCGCTGCATGCTCAGGTTGCTCTTCATCCGAGGAGACCTGTTGCTGCTGTTGTTGCTGTCGAGCAGTTAGATGGCGTTGTTGTTGCTGCAGCTGCTTCTGCTGGTGGTGGTAATAATTGGCGGCAATATTTGGATCTGGTGCTTCAGCATAATGTGGATAAGTTTGGGTTGGCTTTGGGGCACCGCCGTTTGTCTTTTTATACGATGGATAGAACACTACCTGAGAGGCCGCTGTAGTACGGCTGTGTAGCGAACCACTGGGCGAATCTGGACCGGTGCCAGCACCACTGCCACTACCCCCGCCGCGTTTCTTCTTGCCATTCTGGTTGTTGTGTTTCTGAGTCCAGTAGAAAACCTCATGAGACTGCTGGGGCGATCCGGCATTGTTGTAATACTCCCCGGGAGCCTCTCGTGCCTTCATGCTGCCTGGTGGTGGTGGCTGCTTCCAACTATAATAGTCCGGCTGATGATAATAGGCTTCACCTTGCAACGGTTGCTGTAGCTGTTGTTGTTGTTGCTTCTGGGCAAAAATCAAGTTAGTGGAGTCGGCGGAAGAAGTTGGTGAGGTGTGACCAGCGCTGGCCATGCCTGTAGATCGCATTGTATTGGTCATGCCAAGGTTGCGTTCGTGCACCGAATGATTGCCGACAACCGGCTGTAGTTGTTGTTGTTGGTGCTGCAATGCTGGTAGTAATGTGCCCGCTATGAGTCCACTCTTGAGTGTGCGCCGTTGCGTGGCCTCATTAAGTTCGCAATCGGAGGTCGCGCCCATAATGGCTTCTTCGGTGATTGCCACACCATTTTCATCCTGTTCATCTTCCTCCTCCTGCGCTTCATCGCCGTCACTCAGCGGCAATTTCGATTTTTTCAAAGCATGAGTGCCGGTCGAGGCTGAGTTGCTACTCAATGTGCCGCCGTTGCCTCCATTTCCCAGGCCTATGCCTCCAGTGCCGGTCGTTGCAATTCCCGATGATATAGACGTCTTGGAGCAGCGCAAGCATTTTGGAAGCCAGGAATGCTGACGCACATACTTGCGGTACTCGCGTCGTATCTTCTCGTTCTGTATGCAATGGAATACGAAAATGTACAGGCCAAGGAGTGTGTTAAATGATATGAAGCAGTAGCCACAGAAGCTGGCCATGTCCTCATCCATTTTAGACTGGCGTAAATAGAAGTAGGCCGAGCACCAGACGGCGCTTAGCAGTAGGAGAAATACAAATGAGCAGCGTATATCGAAGCTAAAAAAAAGAACAACAAGTTTTTATAAGTGACTGGAAGTTTACAATACCGGTAAATTAAAGAAGTTCAACTTTCGACACCTTAGATATATTATTAATTGTACATTAACCAACAAGTCTTCGCTTTATTCAGCTTTCATAAAAAGACAATATTGATTTTGTTTTTTGCACAGAGCTTCAAAGAGAAAATTGTATAACTTACCGAACGTTGGCCAATCGTGTCTGCTCCTTGGTCTTAAGCGCTGTGCGACTCTTACGACACATTATTACCCACGATAGGAAGGTGTACGCAACGGCAGCCTGCAACGATTCAGATTTTTGACGTTATTTTTAGGCACTGGGTCTTTCTGCACCCCACTTACCACAAAGAAGAGCAAAACTGGCGCCACAAAGCTGACATAAAACAGTTTATTCTCCTCCATAAGCACGCAATAATCATTTTGGGTGTATGAGCTAGGATCAATCATTAGCGAAATGGCCACCACAGTCAGTGACAAGCCATACGAAAGTAGATAGTAGCAGTTCACCTTGGGCGTCTGATCCACCTCGAGCAAGAGGTCGTCAGAGGTTAGCGTAGAATAGGAATGGAAGGCTGCGGCACATCGAACATGCCCGTTAACATTTGGATTTAACTTTAAAAACTCTTCGGCTTACCTTCATAGCAGAACCAGGCAGTGCCCGAGAGTATGGCACAGTGGAGAAAGCTGGTTATGAAACCACAAAATATGCTTGTTTCGGTCTGTTCAATGCCCAGGAGAAAAAGCAGCTCAATGGCAAGCAGGCAAATATAAATGTTGCTATAGATCGAGGTGCGTGCAGACTGTAAAAATGTAGTCAGAAAAAATTTTGGAAGAGAGGAAGAAAGAGAAAAGGAAGTGAGTTGAGGTTGAGAAGCTAAACTTTCGTGTAAATTCCAATGGTTTTTGAATTGTTATCGCACACAATTTGAATTCGTAGCATTTGACTTAAATAGTTTTTCGCCTTTTACAAATATTGCTCATATTATAAATAATTTTGGTGGTTGGTGGTGAAAATTCCAAGGTTTATAAAATTATAAAATAAAATATATAAGAACAAGACACGAAACAAGCAATATATAACGAACAAGGAACAAATACAACATAAATTAAAACTACAACATAAACACAACATTTTTTTCTTGTAATTGAGACAATATTGACACTTTCCAATTTTATTACGTCACATATGAAATAAGAATTAAAGATTTAAAGACAACAGAAAACAATAAATTATTTGTACGTTTTTGTTAGGTTTTTAGGCAAAATGCACACATTAAAAAGAATTGTTTTAATAATATTTCTAAAGTAAAAAGTTGATATTTAAGGTAGCATGCCAATAAAGAACTCTGAGCACACTGAAGTACTTGACTAAGGCAAAATTCTATACACTGGTGATACAATCATACTTTTAATGGGGGTTTCTAAGTGTTTATATATATATATTTTGCATGGAGCGAGTCAATTAAAGGGACATACTTGTAATAATTTAAAGAAACGTTTTATGTGTGTCTAAAATTATTAATGGTTATGGAGTATGTATTATATTTTACTAAAAGGGCTCGCGTACGCAGACAGCTGATTTGAGTACTGAACTTAAAATAATGGTGATATTTTAAGATGATCGCATATAAGCAGTGAGATCTCTGTGTGCGTGAGCCCTACCATGCATATTAGTACAAGCAATCCTTAATTATTAATTCTGAAACAAAAATCGAATAAGGGTTTCAGGTATATTAATAATCATGATTAGATTTGAGGAAATTTGAGTTGTTTCTTAAATATAAACCTAAAGGTCATGCATACTTCATACTTCTATCAATTATGCGGTAGCATATGAGTTATTTATAAAAACAATTTAAATAAACACTTTCAATTATGTACTTAGATGTTATATCACATATAAACACACAATGTGTGCTAGACCAAAACTTAAGATCTACCTAGCCATTGGGTAAGCCTAGCATGTGTTGTTGCTAATTTTGTTTTTGTTTTTCACCACCACCACCACTTATACTGTAAATCATCCATATTCGCCTGCATTATAATATTATTTGCATCCAGGGCAGGTACCCCTTGGTTGCCATCAATATTAATATTATGGTTGCGCTGTTGTTGCTGCTGTTGCTGAAGTTGTTGCTGATGCTGCTGCTGTTGTTGCTGTTGCTGTCGCGATTGCAGATAATTGTGACTAATGTTCAAATTATTGTTGCCCAAGGCATGGCCACCATTGCCGACATTCGCGGCATGTTGTTGCAATGCAGCAGCAATGGAAGCAGCCGCAGCAGCAGCTGCTGCTGTTGTCGAAGATTGTTGGCCGTGCCCATTCGTGGGCGGTAAATTAAGACTCAAGTTTAAATTATTCATTTGCAAATTCTGTTGCGGCTGGCTGTTGTTATTGTTATGAGATAGAACAACAGCAGCAGCGGCAGCAGCCACCACCTGTTGCTGCTGCTGTTGTTGCTGCAAGTTGTAATTGTGCGCATTCAAATTGTTGCGATGGGAATTGCGTATGGAATTGTGTTGTATGAAATTTGTGTGCTGTTGCATATTATTGTTGGAGTGGTTAACGACACCGCCACCACTGGTTGTGGTCAGTGTCAACGATTCATGTGTCTGATCTCGTACATTATTATTCTGCTGGCGTCGACTGCCCGCACGCTGATGTGACGATGGATGCGCCGAAGTTGCGTTTCTTACCTTAATGAAAACGCCATTAAATAGCTTGAGTGTGAGCAGCGCTATGACGATAAAGATCACGCATATTGCAATGCTAACGTAGATAAAGATGCGCATGTTCCCATCAAACATGGTAAATAGGGAATGCTGATGCTCGTCCACAACATCCATGAGTATGGCAAAGTTGGTCAGGTGGTTGCAGGCGCAAACGCTATGTGTTCGATTTGTAGACTCCAGACTGCAACCGTTGGCAGACCAGGCACTAGAGAAATAATTTTATTTATATTGATATTTCAGAAATGGGTATGCATTTCATTACTGGTCAATGTAGTTCCAGAATACGCAGGTGGGGTTCGTAACGTTTTCAGTTTTCAAATGCTTCAGTACTAGTTTGATGGGCTGCGATAGTTGTATGTGACGACCCTTTCCCAGACTGGCCGAGATTACTTTACTATTAAGAATGCGTATGCGTTGTTGCATATCTCCATTGATATCGCTGTCGTTGGCTAAAATGGCTGTGTTGCGCACTAAAAAATAATTATTAATCGTTAGATTTTAAATATCGATACAAAATTGCAAACTAAATAGTATATGTATCTTTCCCAGTTTTCATAAATAAATGTGATCAAATTTAAACTGTTTTAAATTGTCTTTTAAAAGAACAACGTAGCATTTAAGACTTACCATAGCTACGTGAGCTCTTCAAATCAAAGTGATCATAGGTCGGTTTTAGGATCGACTCCAAGCGATCAAAGGCAGCAAATACAATACGGACCAAGCCACCCTCACTGTTCTCTATGAGCGCTGCCCGTGGAAGCTCGATTCGGTCAGAGCTTAAAGGCCATTGCTCCGATTCGGGAAAGACAACGCTTGATTGAATGGTTTTAGTTTCAAGCACCCGCACAGAGAGCACTGCAAGGAACATAAAATAAAAATAAAGGGAGTAATAAATAATTGCCGAGTAAGGAGTCGAATTAAAACTTACATATATTCTTAACTTTTTGCACGACATTGCGTTCTCTAATGATGGTGTCAGCCAGGAGAAATGCATTGTACTCTAAGCCAGTCAGCAATGAAGTAGCTACACGCATTTGATCTTCCTGATTAAGATCTAGCCACGATGACAACTGCGATTCGTCCAGTAAATTTGAGCCGGTTTTTACCACACCATGCAACAGCTCCATTATAATAGCTTCGCGTTGCCTCTGATCTGGAAATGTCTCCTTATCATGAAACATTTTCTCTGACATTGTTTGTATAATCTTGGTAGTCACAAGCATGTCGCCGCCGTAGAGCGTTTTGCTGCTCGTTACCTCGGACAGATCATTGGCTATGGATATGAGCGAGGAGTCGCGTTGATTGACACGCATCTCCAGATTGTTCAACCATAAGCTGCGACATTGTGTTAAATCGGGCGTCATAGGATGCCAAGTGGGTTCAAAATTGCGTAGCCGTTGATTCACCTTATGCGCCATTGTTATGGGTGGCTCGCAGCTGCTACTGTTATGCACACAATCACCAGAAGTCGGTGCTGGCGTTGTCGTTGTGCTAGACACAACACTATCATCATCGTACTCATCATAAGTAGTATCAGGCTCACGTTTCATGAGGACACAACGCCACTTGGCAATGCCAGCGGCACCACCAGGACAGGGCTGTACATTAACATCACCCACGCGGGTCATATTCCAGAAAAGATTGCGAGCATGGGTGGGCCCGCAGAACAATTTTGTTTCATCACCGGTACCGGCCATGCCAGCAGCGTTTAAATTAATATTATTGATAGTACGCATTGTACCTCCGCCACCTAAACTAGCGTTGTTACCCGTAGGTACACTGGCTGCAGTGGCAGATGCACGGCTGGGTGCACTCTTGGTGGTCAGGAGGGTGCCATCATCGCTGCCAGCTCCTCCAACGCCGGTTAAAATACGTGTATTGGACGGTGATGTGGCATTGGTGATTGTATTTGGCAGGATGCCACTGCTTGCCCTGGTGGGTTCGACGCCCTTATGATGAGCGGCCTCATCCGTGTAATGGTGATGGTGATGTATTTGTGGGGGAGGAGGCACACCTTCATGCCTGCTGCCCGGATGTTTTGTAGTTGTCGTGCTGCTGGTACCTTTTAGGCGTCCTCCAGGCATAGCGGCCGCATTACCTGGTGTTGTAAATGTAGGTGGCATCGCATTGAACAGCCCCCCATTGCCATTAATGCCCACCACGCCCGGCAATGTGGGCAAACGAGGCGGTGGAGGCGCAGCTGCTGCGCCATTCGGTGGGTGAATAAAGCCACTGCCATTGCCAAAGACCGGTGAGGGATTGTTTAGTACCCAAGGCGGAGGGCTTGGTCGATTTGTTGTCGTTGAAGTTTGTGCAGCCGATATGCACTGATAGTGTGCCTCTAGATATTTGTGAGTGCCCGGACAGGGATCTCCAAACATGCTGGTGGCAGCTAAAACGCTGCAGCTTCGCTTGTTTGCGCATCTATATGAAGCAGGAGATTAGATGGCGCCATCGGAAGCGATTTGGCTTCTTATGCTTACCTTGAATTCAGCACTGTTAGACTCTTTGGAAACATGCAATTGACGCTCCATTCCACATTGCCATGATCATTGCATATGGTAATCGAAAAGCGTCCATAGTTGGCCCGTATCAGGTTGATCAGATCGCCGGGCTCACATTCAATGGTTAATTTCTTACCTTCGCAGGCGTAGGCAGTTTGATATTTGGGCGCTGTAATATGTGGGGAAAGAGTTGGGCGTAAGTTGGGGCCTTATACATTTCTTTACATGAGGCATGGGTGATTTTTAATAAATATAAGTTTAACAAAGAAAATATCATTAGCGTTGCGTTGATTTGTTGTAGTTTGGTTTGGTTTTTGGAGGATTGATGTAATCTGTAAAGACACTTACGCACTATAATATATGGGGGGAATATGTATATATAATGAGATGTTACGCTTTTAAAATTCCTCGATATACTTAGTTTGTGTTTGATATTTTTTTTTGTCTTTTTTTTTGGTGGTGGATCGTTAGTGATGCTTGTAGCAAGTAGAGTAGTAGTCATAAATACCAAATCCTGCCAGTTGTGTTCACTAATTGCAGGCAGCACTCACATTGCTTTCATAATTGTTATCAGCTTGCCTGCATTTTCTGTTGCAGGTTATTGAACTACAAAGATAAGAAAAAAACAAAGAAAACATCTATACTCACTATATTGGGACTAGTATTTTGTTGTGCTGTTGAGCTGATAAGTAAAGTATACAGATAAATGTAATGCCGTGCATCAAGCTGCACAGTTTACCATGACTGTTAACAATATGACGTACAGTGAAACCTCGATAGCTTAAACATATTTAAAGGTGTCATTCCAAACAAATCGTGGGGAAATTTCAATGACAATTTTAATTTGACGTAATATATGTGTCAGTATTCTTTGGCTTTCGGCTCTGCAGGAACCTCGCAATCATTTTGAATTACTGCTTGGTATACATTCTGATTTAAGGGTTGTTTGTTACTTGTAGCTAAAAAACTTTACATTCAAAATAACAATCTACTGACGTATTGTTGTGATTATTCAATTGATTTTATCTATTCTAGAATTCAAAATTATTGATTCTGATTTGTCCCATTTGACTTATTATATAAAAAGGCATACATAGTCGAAATACCAAATAAATGAATATGATTGCTCTTTCAATGGACCAAAATTCTTTTTTGCTTCAATTTCAATTTATTCACATTTCTTAAAAACATTACGAATTCACAAGTGAGGTAAAGACATCTTAATGTTTAGAATACAGGCAGCTTAGCCTTCTCTAGTTAACAACAATCGACAATGTAAAGCGGGAAAAATTAAACAAAAAAACCCATAAAGAAATTCATTTTTAAATAGTATAAAAAATGTGTATACTAAGTTAAGAAAAAAATGGACTAAAGCTATTTCTATAGGCAACTAAAGTTTTAACCCACATTCCTCAGTGCCCTGTTAGTTTTCTAACGCCATCACTTTCAGTGACCCACTTAAACAATTTCTTCAATTAACTTACCACGACTTTTCCGCTACATGTCGATATGAAGTTCCAGTACCACGCCTTGTCGGGCTTCGCCATAATCTGAAATATATGTACATACATATAAATATGATACATAATTGCCACAAGGAATGTATATACATATAAAACACGGCATAGAGAAAGGGTCAGGCCCTAAAAATACACACCCTGCGTTTTCTCCGTTCCAATAGCAGCCAAAGCGCAGAACAAAGAGACTTGTTTTCTTTGTATACCAAAATGCAGACGTGCATGTGCATACATCGAAATGCAGCTATAGAGAAAAAATGACGCCGCAGCGCTGTCTCTAGCATAAGGGCAGTGCACTCTAAATGGTTGTGGCTCACATCATTTTCGTTAATGTCGTAGTTGTATTCACGCACACAGACACACACCGTCATTTTCAAGTCTTTTCCCATGTAGCGACTGCGCTGCTGTGGCCAGCGGAGCACCCTCGTTTTTGGCTTTTCTTGGTTCCTTTATTCATAGTTTTTTCATATGAACTTTTCAATGTCCTTTTCCGTACAACTTTAATAATTTTTGTTTGATTTTTAAACATATCGGGCTTGATTATACTTTTAATTGTGCTTGTGATGCGGTTTTATTAATGATTATAACGTTTTTCTATTATAAAAATGAGTTTTTCACGACACTGCTAATAAATTCGACTGTATTTGGTGACGTACAAGTGACAAGTGGAAAAGTTAGCTCAGTGTGTGAGTGAAAAAATGGAAAACGGGTTTGAGTCCGCTTTTGAACTATGTATTATTGCATTTAACTGAGTTGTTTTTTTTTTAGCTTATTTTAATAGAATGCCGTTGCAATAACGTTGTATTAAACTTTCAAATTATTTTTTAAATTAATAGAGTTTATTTTAAGAAAGTATATTTGAAATTTACAGAGCGAAAATCACACTGAACTTTGTCTGCCAATAGAAAAATTCTCTATACTCGAAAATCCAGTTGTGGCATTGCCAGTTTGAAGTTCTTATTTATCGGTGGAACTGCCAACTGTTTGAATGAAGCGCGCATTTTTTTGAATTTGAAAAGTTGTGAGTAGAAAATGTAATTTATGGGTGAAAGCCAACAGCAACATTACTGCGCATTTATAAGTCTGCTTAATAAATTTATATTTGCCCAATGCTATAATAAATTAAGCTGTTCTTGTTAAATGCCCGCAGAGATTGCCCGTGTGATAAAGCAACCGCTTTGTTCCCGCCAGAGCCGCAACATTTGCCAATTCATTTCACTCTTTTTTCACAGTCCATTGCATTGTGATAGACTTTTTGCTTGTGTATGGCCAGTCATTACCACAATTAATTCTCATTTTGTTGTTATTGTAACAAATTAATGAAATCTAATTGAGTGTGTGTGCAGCCGGCTGATAAATATTGTGGGGGAATCAACACAATTAACGACGGAAACTGGCACACAGACGCCGTCACAACTGGTTACATTTATCACTTGCACTTTCGTGTGGATTGCTTTGGCGCTGTCAGAAAGTGGTTGTGGTGAGAGGGGAAGCCCCAGCCCATCATACTCAAACTCAACCAAACTGCACTACAGCCGATATTTAATTGATGCGCTGAAGTGGAGTCAATAAACATTTGAGATAGAAGCTGTGGGCGCATTGAAATAATTTAAAGCCATTTTTCACATTTTCATTTCATTGATTTATTGGTGTATATGTATATATGTATGTATGTAAATAATGTTTTTATTTTTGGTGGATAGTATACTAATAAGAAAGGTTTGGGGAAACCATTATTTATTTGGTTATTTTATGCTTAGAGGCTAATACTTGACAAAAATTATTTGTAGTAGGTACATCCATTCGTACTTATGTTACTATAATACTTAATCCTATAGCCGATATGATAAGTACACTTGATATGAAGTACAACGCGTAACTAAGTGCAGTTGTAAACGTAGTATGTATGTTTGTATAAGTAGGTACTGACCATAAAACTAACTCTCGATAATTGCGCTGGAAATATGACAAATTATTTGTTTATTACTCAAGTAGTGTGTGCGCACACGCCCCCTTTATGGGTCTCCCTCCTCGCTGTGCACGCGTTTTCTATGCCAGCGCAAACTGGCAAACTGTGCAAATCTCTTGCCACACATTACACATTTGTACTTTTTGACGGCCAAATGCAGCTCCTTGTGCTTCTTGAGGTTGCTGAAGGTTGTGAACTTCTTTCCGCAAACCGTGCACAAATGCTTGCGTATATTCAAATGTCCATTCATGTGATCTGTGAAGCGATTCTTCTCATAGAAACCCTTGTCACATATGGGGCAATGGAATGTCGACTGATTGAGATGCGTGCGCCGATGTATGTCGAAAAAGGACCAGGTCTTGAAGGATTTGCCACACAAATCGCAAATATAGGGGCGTTCACCAGTGTGTGTCCTCATATGTATGGCCGCTTCGGTAGATGTGGCAAAGCGCTTATTGCATTGCTCACACGCATAGGGAAAATCCTGACGGTGGCGACGTATATGCACGGTTAAGTTGCAGGGCATTTGAAAACCCTTACCACAGAGCGTGCATATGAAGGGCTGCGTGCCATCGTGCGCCGAACGATGCACCTTATACTGGTCACAGGTTTTGATAAGTTGCTCGCATAAATCGCAGCGAAAGGGCCCCAGATTCTGATCCAGAAACTGCGAGAGCTTGGCATGCACCAACGATGTGCTTGATCCCCCATCATTCAAGAGAATTTTGCGTTTTTGCGCAGAGAATTCCTTGCGCATCTGAAAGAGAGTCTTCTCCAATTGCGCACTTGTGTGAGACGTTTGAAATGTGTTGTTCAGCTCCTCCAGCATTTGAGCCAATGCCTGGCTGCGATATGTATTGGAACGAAAGTCTGGATGATCCACATCCCATAGTGCAGAATAGTTTTGATAAATCTCCACAAATTGCAGTTGATCCTGTTGTGAATCGAAAATAATGCAATTGGCGTTGATGAACTTGGTCTTTTGAGTGGTCTCCACTACGCCTACTTTCTGTGGAAGAAACAGAAAGACAATGTAAATAGGCATCCAAAGTGTGTACATACATACAAGTATGTATGTACTATGCACGTATATCTAAAAACTCGTGTTTTCTCAATATGATTACTGCAGATGAATGTTTTATTTAACCTTTTAACTAGCATACAATACATATATCAATGTACATATGAATAAATATGTAATTACGCTTAATCGATATACTACTCGTATATGAAATACATTTATATTGGAACATTATTAATCTAAATAATTTACAAGTGATATAATGCTAAATTATTTTTATGAATGAATCAAGACTGATGGCTATTAAAAGTATATAAAATAAACGATTCATTCATTGCAGCACAAACAATCCCCACGTCGCAACTGTGCGACTTGTGAAAAATACAATTCTCTTAAGCTTTTTGTTGTAGAAAAGTACTTCAAGGACCAAAAGCAAGCTGGTTCTTCAGATGGATCTAAGCTTAAATCTGGATTTAGACCTATAATGTCTCCTTCCGATAAAATATTTCATCGTTCACTACGGCTGCACAACTTGATATTGATCCCCAACCAAAGCCGATAAATTTGAATATACATTACCCAGGATAAAGGTGGTTCTTTGCTAAACTCATGCGACTTTGCATTGGAAAAATCAAGCAGAATTTTTTAATTCCGGGCAGCGAAGTTAATATTATCAATTCCTTTGTATAATGTTGCATCTATCTATTTAGATGGCTCTTACAAGAATATTAATTAATAATAATTAAATTATTTCTCTAATCTCTTTCTGATTTAATCAAACTTGTTATACATCCACACATGCATTTATACAACCGTGTAATTTTTCTCTCTGTGTACGCGATATAATGAAGGGAACATGTAGACCAAATGTTCGTAAAGAACGAAAAGTATTTTTATGTAATCACTTTCCAATTCCATTGAACAAGATACATTTAAGTTCATGTATGTACCTCTACCGACATAGGAAACTAAATAATAAACTTTCAAAGAATTATACGACATGCATTTAAGTTCAGTTGTACGTATGCTTTTCCCGAAACGAATCCAATACTATCTATAAACTGAAATGTTCCTTCACTAAGTTAAGCTGGTCGCTGAATTCAAAACATGCTTAAGGCTGATTCTATATCGTGTTTCATATTCTTGAACTAAATTATGGAAAATACTGAACATATCAAGCTTACCTTGCTAATTTTACTGAATATTTGTTCCTGTAGGATCCTCTGCAGAAATTCCATTTCATCGTAGCACCAAAGCTTGGGCAAATATAGGCCCTTATGCTTGATGACCATGCGTAGTTCCTTGCGATATCGGGTGCGCAATTTTTGGATCTCCTTGCAGCACACATCCCCACTCATCTCGTAATTCAGCTCTTGCCGCAGTTGCGCTGAAATTTCACGATATAACTCCTTCTTGGGGCAATCGGCATAGCCGATGTGGTGTGGATTCCACAGGCATTCCTTTCGTTTGAATGCTTCCAGTATGAAGGCTAGTACCTCTCGATATTGTGCAGACTTGGAAGAGTCCGTGTCGGTTTCACACGATTTCTCACTCTCGGTGCTATCACTACCGCTCTGTGGGTGTGGCAGTTGTGCAAAGATTAGGAATGGAATTTGTTTAGTGATATCGATTTGGGTTAGAACAAACACAGCTCTTGACTTTATAAATTATCTGATTCACATGTGCAATTTGGGCTGACGTCAAATGACGCACTGAATAATAAGCATTATCTGATCTGTAGATTAGGTGATAAAACCATCGAGGCTAATAGACTCCCGTATGTAGGTGGATTTTAAGTTTTCAATCATAATATTTTTAGATGCTGATATCGATTCACGTTTTGATTTAATTTCGCGATGTACTACTAAAACAAATTAATCATAGTTAACTTATTGTTGGTTATTTTGTGGGTTTTCTGATTAGTTGAGCGATTGCAAATTTTTGAAATGAAATATTATAGGAAACTCATCCAACTGGAAAATTTTCCATGATGAATGCACTTGAAACTCGTCCAAATTGATTTTTATTTGTCAGTAATTTTGTTGGTCGTTATTATTCTTGTTTATAACGCAGCAGATTGAATGTCTGATTATAAATTTGTTTTTCGAGCTCTTTAATCTCTAAGTCTAAGTACCCGTATGTATCTATTATAGTTTTTAGGTTTCTATTCATTTTGGGCTCACCTTGGCCTCTCGGTCGGCGCGCTTTTTTTCGATCACATCTCGCAGAAAGTGCATCTTCTCGAAGCACCACAGACGCGACTTGTAGTTGCCTTCCTGGCTATTAAGTTTGCTCAGCTCACGTCTATAGCGACCGCGCAAGTCCTTCAGCACGGCAAATATTTCCGCCCCCGTCAGTTGAACCTCAAATACACGCTCTAGCGGGGCGGCGAGCTCACCATAAACACTCCGTTTGGCATTATATTTATACTCCGGATGCTTGGGATTCCAAAGCTTCTCGTGCCGCTCATAGGCCAACAAGAGAGCGCTTACAAAGTCGTGATTTCGCTCGAGTTCGCGGCGGGTGCGCTAAGGAAAGAGATTCAAGATTTGCAATTGCTCCAAAGATTGCATAAGGCGCTTCGCTTTTCCTCTGTTGTTGTGATTGTTGTTTTTATTTCTGTTGCTCACTCACCGTTTTGAAGCCTAAACTGCTGCTGGCTACGCTACTTGTTGGCGATGTTGGCGCCCCCGGTGTTGGAGGCGTCGCTGGCGGGGTTAGCCCTACGGCAATGTGTTGTTCCTGCTGCTGCTGCTGCTGCTGTTGTTGTTGTTCGATTGTAGTTTTTGCATTTTCATTTTCCTTTGCGAGTAGTTTACGCTGCATTGCCTATACAGAAAAGGGGGAAAAGCAGAGAATATTTCGCATAAATAAATACATTTGTATCTTAAAGATACGCAAGTTTATTTACACTTAACGAGGCACATGATCGCTGTCAGTGAGTAAGTGTAAGTAATGCGCGTAATCGCTCTCTAGGAATTTCTGAACACCAAAAGGGAAAGTCTTGCCCTGTTTGGCCCTAAGCGGCAGTCGACTCGATGGCCAACGGCCTTTGAAATTATATGCCGACGAAGTCGTGACTGCTTATCGCAATTGCATGTAGTACAGATACAGATACATATATACAATATATGTATACAAACATATCTAGAAGTTAGCTGTAGATTTTGTTTCGCTACACGAGTATTGATGTTTGCATGAAGACGATGAATAATTCAAGGGCATATTGCGATCTCAAATAGATGTACATATTCGAGTTCTCTTCCGCTTCTCCGTTTATGTGCATACTATGTATAAATATTACTATATATAAATGCACTGTTCCAAACGATATTGCCAGTATGTGAACATACATACAAACTGAACCCATACACAATACCCGTAATTGTATCATAACTTTCTTGATCTGAATAAACATTCTGGATAATGATGCACAAGTATGTAAGTGTTCCCATCGAGCCCAAAGGTTCGAGTGTAATCATGTATTTTAGCATTTAGTAGTAAATCAACAATATATTCTAATGCTAACTAACTAACTACTTAATATGGGAATTACGACTTCAAAGAATATAGATAATTACCTAATTTAATTACAAATATATTTTTAAAAAATGCAAACAATTATCAAGTTAATATTAAGGTATAATTAGAGTTGAAGTTCGCTTACAGCTCCCATTTAAGCTGGAGAACAACTCACTAAGGCAGATCGTACTATAAAATAAGACTAAACTCGTTGTCGTCCAGTAATGTTCCCCCTTTTTGTGTTGAAAGCATTAATTAATCCGGCAACCATAGGCAAAGAAAAGTAAAGCTACGGTTGGGCAAGCAAAAAGTTAGTCCCAAAGAAGTGTTTTGAAAGATGAAATTCCTATTGGTTTTAATTCAAATTTATGTGATTGTCTCATATAGCTTACAAGTTTAATTTTTCTTATTTTTCAGTGTTTGATATTTTCAGTGAGAATAGATTTTCTCCTTTTCCACTTGAAAATACATGCATTCAGAAAACTCTCCCAACAGAAACCCAATAGACCGTGCCCACATATTGATTAGTTTTATGTATAGCCTCTGGAGTGTGTCATGCTAATATACTTGTATTGAACATAATACTAAAGGAAAGGTTTAGTATTAACCAGTTCAAACTCGTTATGCTCGACGTATAGTTGGAACAATACAAAGAGGAGAAAAAACAGAAAACCATATACATATATACTTGTATATTTTTTTTTTGATTTTGGCCCATAATCGCTAATTGAAATTGTCGCCTGATTGTCTTGAATTAATGTGCCACAAGTGCTACAATTGTGTGTCTTGTTCTGTTCGACTTTTAATTATGGAGGTTGGTGTCGAGTGATGGCAGAGTTGCGGATAAAAAACTAGCTAATAACTCTTGTTCCCTCAGGGGCTAACATTTTTCGTCGTCGCAGCTAGGCTGAACTCGACGGAAATAACAAACTAATTGGTTTATGACCAACATTTGTCAACGCGTCCAACTTGAGTTTGATTGACCAACGATATTTTAGTCAGGCTCGTGCAACACATACATTCTAAACTTCGCAAAGCCCTATTGGCTGTCAAATCATATGGTCATGGTCAACTAACTGACTAACTTACTTATGAGCCCTTTCACAACTCGCTGCCAACTACCTAATTGAATAATTCAAGCATAACAGGCCTTGACCTCGATGAAACGCGCAATTTAAAACGTCATTGAAAATCAAATGCAGAGAACAAGAAAAAAATATACTCTTAAAGGCAGAACGTACTCGTATGTACGTTCTGAAATAATTTCATTTCTAACAACAAAAAACCAAAACTCAGCCACACGCCCAAACCCACACAGAGGGTGGCAAAGCAGGAGCTTTTTCCCTAAAAAAACAACAACAAGACAAAACTGGGGTGGTCGTAAATTTTAATGACATAAGAGCGAGAGAGCAAGTGTACGATTAAAACCGCTTTTCATTTTCCGCAGCCTTTTGGCCGTTGTCTACCTGAGCCCCGGAATAAATGTAAGTATGCCGTGTAGGTATGTGCATATGTATGTTTAGATACATACTACTATATAGGTATGAGAGAAGGTCTGAAAATGAACGACATTGGGTTGAGCAGAGTTGTTGCCATTTATCGTTGGAGGTACGAGTATTTAGCAAATTGTTTAGCAGCTGTTTTTATTTATTTCTTCAACAAAAAGCGCACACACACACAATTTGTTGAGTGAAAAGCGGGAAACCGTCAACGGGAGGGCAGCCCAAACAAAGGCAAAGCTCAAGCAACGGCGACTATTGTTCCGCTGTAGCTATTGTGTTCGTTATAATGTCTATGTGTAGCCGAGGGGGTATCTGTGTGTATGTATGTATATTCTTTGTGCCTGGACAGTAGCCTTCCGAGAAGGGCCTCCCATTAGTTATTGGGTGTGTTGCATTAGTAGGGGGCTTGCCTTATGCCTGCCACATTTTACACAGCTGCGTCATGGCGGCCTGTTTACCGAACACGCAATTCAAATAATTGATCCAGTTAACAAAATTGCATAAAAATTCAATAATATAAAGCAACAGCAGCAATAACAATAACAACAACAGCTACATGCACTGCCCCTAGACATGTTGTTAAATATGCCGCTGTTGTCCAAGCAAATTGAAACCCGATCGCAGACTCATTTATTGAGTTAGCTTCCTATGTCATGCACACAATAAATAAAAGGGTATATTGATTTTTGTCCAAACAAAAGATATATATTTGAACATTATGGAATAACAAGGCGTGTTGTTGTGTTGGTCGAAAAATGAATATGTCCAACCAGTTTTATATTTGTTATTTATTTTATTTAATTTAATTACGAAGAGTTACAAATTTAACAAGATTTTGAATAACTGCTCAAGACCTGAACTTTTTTTCAAATATTTTTCAATAAATGGTTTTAATATTATATATAGAGAATCTACTAGTCGAATATATCATATTATAAGAAGTATCTCATTTCATATTTATTTATGTACGCACTCACGTACAAATGGAAAGGGGTCGAGACTTGTTAGAATAGTTTTGCAGCTGGCTAAGATGTTTGGCAGAGACACAAAAGGTTAAGCTAATTTCCATAAAAAGGGCAGAAAAACTTGCCTTACTTGTTAGAAAACAAAAACAAACACGTACATTTTTTTAAATACCAATACTGATCCATCTTTTTTTTTTTGAGTGGCTTATAAAGCAGAAACTTCTATGTGTGACGATGGTAGAAAATAAATCTGAAGTATTTTAACTCTTGAGCTACTCGTGCAAAAAGCAGCCCTTAAATTGGGGGGCAAGTTTGACAGAGGTTTGCCATTTCTAAGTATTATTTGTTGAGTGATTTATTCAAGAGCTCTGGTTCTTGTAATTAATTATTATATCATTCATATTTAAAATGGAAAAGAAATTTGCTCAAAAGGATCCTGAACCACATCAAAAACTAAAATAATTGAAAAGCGAGGCCACATATATTAGATTAATTTGGACATATCTTTGACTAAAACTCTTCCGACTCTTCACTCAAATGCATTTGCTATTGATATGACCAATTTATACAGGAGCCATATCGAATTCTTCAGGCCGGGCCTGGCACCGGCTGCGTCAGAAATATTGCCATCATGGCCTCCAATGCCGCCGTCATGACATCGTTAACAGCAGCCATTGTCGTCGCTGTTCAATTAGAAACGATTGTTTATTGCATTTGTCACTAAAAATAAATAACATAAAAAAAAGAACAGTTCAGCGACAAAATATGCGGGCCACTCAATGAATTTCCTTTGATGATGACGACCAGCCTGCTCGTTCATTCAGAGCTGTTGCTGCTTATACTTATAGTATTTCATCTGAGCCTCCCGCAGATTAATTTAAAAAAATTTCTTTGCGTGCCTCTTTTGGATGTATTTACATCACGAAAACGAACCGAATTATTAATTATCAAATAGAAAATATTTTGGGACTGTGGGTTCGTTCCGTTCCAAATTTTGCAGGCAATTAGAACTTCGGCGCTAAGCGCTGTGCGTGACGAGGTGCGGGTGGCTTTTCTTTTCCCTGCCTGTCACTGTGTGTGCGTGTGTGTGTGTGTGTGAGACAAAAGATTCATGGTAATGCCATTAATACACTTTTAATACTATTATAAAACTTTGGCCTTAAAGTCGCTAGACGCAACGAAAACAAAAACAACGCTTCGAATTGTGTCAAGCTGGTGGCCATTGCATTAGTTTTAGTTACTTGATTAGTTATTTGTATTTCCTTTTAGTTTAGTTTATTGTGGACTTACATTGGATTGAGTGTTTGGCTTGAAGTGTCAGTTGTTGAAGGGGGCTTAGATGTGCATACTTAGTATTTGGGGTAGTAAGTGATCGGACCAAAGACATACATATGTATTGGGGGTAACGCCGCAACAGAAATACATGATTAGAGGAACTGATTGTGAAATATCTACGCCAACATTTCTAAAACACGTGCGTAACAGGGGAATTAGATAGTAGAGAAATGGTTTAACAGCCGAACACTCGTATAGCCTAGGATTAAAACACACACTCAAAAACTGTGTTTCCTATATGTGCACTACAAGGTTCAATTTAATACTTATTTTTTTAAAAATTTACCTGGTTTAAACTTAATTACTCTATTTGGTGCGTACAAAATGTTGCCGATCATTTAACAAACGCTTTCTTAACGCACCTAATTCTGTTTTTGATATAACACGGTTCGAAAATTGAAAAATTGAATATATATTTCTTTAGAGATAAGGAACCAATCACCTATTTTTGCCTATGATCAATGTATTTTTTACACGGTGATTTCTGGAACCAATCTACCGTGTA